CGGGCCCTTAACATCCTCTCGGATTCTTTGTTCGAGGTTGTCTCCTCTAGCACTGTGGCTCAAGAACCTCACCACTAGGCAGTGGCGGCAAGCAAACCTATTTAATGGCGGTTCGCGCTCGCCATGTCATAATGCCGTCGTTGGGATTTGCGGCATTTTATAAGGCAGTTAGTGCGACAGACCCCAGCCCTCTGCGCCCTGGTAACACTGTCACCTGAGAATGACCATTACAAAAACCTTTGTCGCAGTGTAAATAAGACCTAGCCACAGTATTTTTGCAAATTGTCTTATTTACTCTTGTAAGAAGTGAAATGACGGTCGAAAGCCGGGGATGTGGACCAATATTATCTCCCCAAGCTTGCTCAGTCCTCCCTCGGAGCCGCGTCGCCATTGTAGATATAAGCAGGACAAACTATCTCCTAGTCACGTTGTATTTTTGCGCAATCTCATTATTGCACTAATAGTTTCTTTCAAAAATCATTAGACTAATGAAGACGACAATTCGCTGCTTAGGGGTTACTTATGGAAAGTAAGAAGACATTGGAGGTTGTCAGCAATAGAACGGCCATTCACATTGGGACCGACTCAGGATAGAGGACTTAACATCAGCAGGAATTTTAAGTTTATAGCATTTTCAATTGTCACAAATAATTCAGATTAAATTCATAGATGTCGCAATTTCGGCTTTATAGCTACTGCAAATTTCCCTAACTGACTGTTATTTTACGGCGTTAGAGGGAGTAGTAGTTACTAAAAATCTGTCGCTTGTTGTATTGACATCCAACTCCCTGGTTCTTACGCTGATTTGTTCATTGTGCCACCCCATTCACCATCGTCTTACCTGGTGGGTAGTCTATCCATCAGAACGATGCCAAACTAAATGCATTTCGTTCTCTCAGCACCATTTGTGCAATCCAATGTTCTCTTTGCTGCCAATCAAATCCTTTTAGACCACTTCGGCGGCGCATTCATTTAAGATGTTTTCGTGCCGTTATGATGGACATGAGGAGGAGTCCTCTTCAAGTGGGTTAGTTTCATATCGGTTTACCTAGGTGTAGATCCTCCTCACCCAAGCACAGTTACTCCTTTGAAGACGCGGATAACTTTGAAGAAATGATGGAAAAAGAACTGCAGTCCGATGTTTTGAAAGTTTCTGCAGTCGGTCACGCGAAGAATGCTGGTCAGTTTAACAGTTCTTCCTTTTTATCTGAATACATGCAAGAAAACTTTAACCAGGCGTGTCTCTTAAATTACCAGATCAGCCATCATAGTCATCGTAGTTATCCTGGTTCTCCATGTAGTTGACTCTAGGCATAGTTTTGGAGTCCTGTGGCTCAGTCTGCTGCCTCTTTCATCGTCACACTTTGGAGGATAGATTAAGAAGGTTTGAGAAGACACAGTAAGAAATGGTAAGGGCGAGGCGGTTAATCTCAGTTAATGGGTTTTACTGATAATTAATGTGTCTAGATACCAAGTCTGAACGGATTGCAATGGAACGCTCTGTAAATTTCTAAGTAACTTATCAATCGTATAGCGCAAAAATGTTCGGGACACAATGAGAGAAAACATATTTTACCTTAACGTATTCGATATCCGTGGCCAAAAGCATCTACAACTGTATTTGGTACGGTGGAACAGTTCGAAATTCGAAGTGCAATCAAAATGACCACAGGGAATCTGAATTTAGGGCTGATTCAATGTTAATTCTTTTGCCATTATGCAAAGTGTAAAAAGCCGGCCACAGGTTGGTATTGCATTTATTCGTACGAATCATTAGCTAGAAATTGTCCTGGACCAAGTAAAGATTATGTGTAGATGGCATGCTTTCATTACTACAGTTGAGTCTCCTAGGCCTCACCTCAAAAGGGATATAAAGCGAAATCGGATTTCTGCGTGCCACCGATTTCTTTTGCTCTGGTATCGTTACGTGGACTAAAACGTCAAGGAGGATAAAGACCGAGGATATCTGTTGAATTAAGTTATCGACCCAGTCATCTTGATTGAGGTTTTTGACTATCCCAAGTTTCTTACAACATTGAGTCCACGAATTGGGCAATATGTCAGCCAAGAAAACAAAATGTGTAATTGCGGTGCTCTGCTTACGGTAGTGCGAGAGGAAAACATATACAACCCTCGCAGACAGTAAGAATACTGTTACACGATGAGTAGTTCACTCGTAAGTTATCGCGTTTGCCTTCAGCTTGCTGAATCACGCGTCAGATCTCGTCGACACGGACGGTCGAACATGATCTCCGCCAATTTAGTTTAATAAAGTTTGTTAGGGACGGGAATTCACAAATTCCTCCGTCACCTGCTAACTTTTATACCACAGATCACAGTGCTTCGCCGTCTGCGATGCTTTGTCCTCGGATTACATCGTTATGTCCAAGTCAGTAGAGAAGGTCCCCATTAAATTGGTTCGATATTAATGCAGTTAGTATTGGCAACATTATTTTTATTTCGTAGTCGTAAACGTCTCATTGCCTACCAGATCGATGCGAGTGCTACTCTTCCTCATTCCCCTTCAATAACTTACTGTCACACTGTAGGATCATTTTAGTGTCCACTTTACATTGGCACGTTAGTCAACCTATTCATTCTAAATAATGTCCTCAGAATTAACCGTAGAATTGACTATTTGGTAACTTGGGCTTTACTTTGTTGTAGATAAAGCCGAAAAGACTGAGAAGTCCAACGAACCAATCGACGATGACTTACTGTACGACCCCAACGAAGACGACGATAACGCTGAATGGATGAAACAATTTCAAGTTACCAGTCACGGTGATCAGTCTGGGACATCTCGTACAGATGCTGTTCTCAATTGCCCTAGTTGTATGAGCCTCTTGTCGACGAATTGTCAGAGGTGAGTCTATTTCATACTTCGTAGACAAGCATATGATGCGGCAATAAATTTAAAAAATAAAGAAAAACGTGGCATGCCATTAAGTGCACTCAGGCAATTCCGATCGCTCGTTTTGCCAGGCTGTGATCGTTCTCGTAGTTAAGTGATTATTTCTTCAGACATGTCTCCTTCGGCCATGTGATTCGTGTACTTTACTCAATGGTTTTTTTGACTTCCTAACTGTTTGCATGGTAATTATTTCTTCGACGTAGTTTATTAAAATACGAAACTTGCCCAGTAAAAAACCTTTATACTGCGAGACGGACTTGGACCCCCAACCTCTCAAGTTTGCGTCGAGTGCCAGTTTCGCAGCCGCCGCATGATTGTACGATATCCCTGAGTCGCATGGCATGTCTAATGTATTCCGATAGAGTTTTTAGAAGCAAATAATGAATAATCCTAATTTGCGAACTTGAAGTACTACAGGTTTGAATGTCTACTGATAAAACTTAAGCCATATTTTAAATTTACTCAATACTTCGTACACGTTAGTCTTGCAATTCTTACAGGGAAGTAATACAGTCTACACCAGGCCAGACCAGCGTGCAGCATTTGACGACTTCGTAAATTTTCTGATAGACGTAATAACTGTAAACGGTTATTGCATATTTATGAAACTATAAGGAAGAAATCTGGGACAATAAACCGGCTAAGTACACAAAGTTTCGTTTGGATACCATTAACTTTGGCGGCAGTATATGTGATGTTAATTGGTGGATCTAACAATGTTGTGTCTTATAAACGAAGGGATTACTTCAATCGGTTTTCTGCCGAGGGAAATCCAGACGCGCAGGTTTGTGTTTCATCGATTTTCTGCGGCTGCATAAAGAAACCGCCTTGGGGAACACCGAAACCAATGGGGGGAAACAACCAAATAACTATCCGATTTTGCATCAGCAGCCTCAGTGAAGCATGTATGGGCTTTGAGCTAGTGCCGTTGTTGGGAGTATAGTGAAACGATTTTCTCATAGAGGATTGGCATACCTCCGATTTCATTTGGTTACCCGTGGCTCGCTTGAGGAGCAAAATATATTCTACAAAATGCTCTACCTGAGCTATACCAAACGTAAGTTAAAATCCTCTTCAGGAAAACATGATGTCGTATGTGTTTGGTGCCTAAAGGTTTTGCTGAGACCTTGTAAGGAGGTATGCGCGCTCCCAAATTTTAGTTGTCATTTTTTCCTCCCTATCAGGCAATGATCAAGACACGGAGTACATTGATAACCTAAATTGAGTTTTCTTCATTTGCCCGTGCTATTTAATAGCATTATCTACTGACTACTGTCACGCGGCCTTGGAGGAAGCCGAATAATTATGGTACAGTAAGTGGTCGTTTCGACAATGCCGAAATCCAAATTAATCGTTCGTGTCGGACCCCGGCGTTCAGGGCACTGTCTGATTAATGTTTGGCCATTTTCAAAATACAAAGTTCCCCCTATTCTTTAAGGTGGCGAGCGCTAAGCACATAAACTTCGCGTGGCTCAAGCTCCATTGCCTTATAAGCATTCGTATTTATTCTTTTTGTTTGACTGTTATAAGTAAAATTAAAGACAAAGCCTAATAAAATCAAGAATCTGTAAAGCTCAACATATCTCATTTTATTTTAGGCATTCTCGATATAAAACGCAATACCGTACACTCTTAACTTTCAACTGCAAAGTTGACGAAAGCGAGGTTCTCCACCGGCCCACTTTTGGAGAGGATTCATCGGTTGAAAAGCACTCCCTTCCTGATACCAGAAACGAGCAGTTTCATCGGGTCATTTGTAATATATGTGACACACCCGTTGGCTTAAGGGACTCCATAGGTGTTTATCACTTGTTTGGCGTTTTAGCGAGCTACAGCTGACTGTGATGATCAGTTTAATTTTCTTGATGTATCAAATCTATCCAAAGAGATTTTTTTAAAGAAACGATTGTTATTGTTAATCGTGCAAAGCGATGCTAATTAGCCTTCATAGGTCTGCATGCGAAACCGCAGATCGGAGAGGCGGATTGTGAGTAGCATTTGGCGGCCATGAGCATCCAACGTCAGGTAGTAGTGTAACCATACTCGACCCTAGATACGAATATCGTTCGGCCAACTCACCTGTCAATTAATGGGCGAAACTAATATTTGCCCCAACCGGTGACCGATCTCATAAAATGTTAGTCGTACTTCTGAAATGCGTTTTTGATTAGAGGGGAATGATAGTTCGAACGTCGTTTTCAACGATGTCCACCACGAGCTTCAGCAAGTTGAAGACAGACTCAGTGGCTCTAGCTGGATTATAGTGAAACTAGACTCGCAGGATCTACTCCACTCTCTCATCACTCCCACATCTGTACCCGATGTCAAGAAAGAAGTCGAGAAGACCGGAGATGGGGGAGGATGCAGGTGGCTGGTGCGGCTGAGGCCGCCCCAAGCTTGCCACCAAGCTCAGAGCAAGATAATCACCAAGCGACTGGCCCTTCCGACTACACAGATGAGGGCGTGACAGTCACCGCCGCCATCCTGCCGCCCAAAAATTCGCTAGGTGCCACCAGCCGGTATTCACTCCTCTGGATCAGAGAAGATACAATTAACCGGGCAACCATGTACATGGCCTGTAATCCCAGGGGAAGGGGCGCAAGCGCATACACTGCCAGAGAATCAGATACACGAAAACTGCCAGCGCACACCAGGTCGCAGAGACCATGGTTTACTGAAGCGTGGCATTGCATAC